AAAAACAAAAACAGAAAATTCCAGTGTTGGCGAGGATGTGGAGAAATTGGGACCCCGTGCACCGTTGGTGGGAATGTAAAATGGTGCAGCCGCTGGGAAACAGAATGACAGTTCCTCAAAAAAATCAAAGATAGAATTCCCATGTGGTCCAGCATTCCCCTTCCAGGTACATACCCAAAGAATCCAGAGCAGGGACCTGAACAGACACGTGTACATCAGTGTTCATAGCAGCGTATTCACAACAGCAAAGGTGGAGGCAACCCAAGTGTCCCTCACTGCACGAACAGATAAGCTAAATGTGGTCTATCCAGACAAGGGAATATTATTCAGCCTTAAAAAGGAAGGAAATGCGGAAACATGCTACCACAGGGACAAACCTGGAGGACACTATGATGAATGAAATAAGCCGGTCACAAAAGGACGTGTGTGTGATTCCACTCATAAGAGACAACTTCATAGAGACAATGGTAGAATGGTGGGTGCCGGGGGCTGGGGGAGGGGAGCGGGGAGCTCGTGTTTAATGGGGACAGAGCTTCCATTTTGCAAAATGCAAAAAGTTCTGGAGATGGATGGGAGTGATGGCTGCACAAGAATATGAATGTACTTAATGCCACTGAGCTGTACACTTAAAAGTGGTTAAAATGGTAATTTTTATGTTATGTATATTTTACCACAATTAAAAATTTAAAACTAGAAAATAAATCCTGAAAAGGAGACTGTTAGTTTCTAGCAACCCCCTAAGGGGCCGAGGGCCTGGGAAAACCACAGGATCCCCTGGGCAGAGGTAGGATTTTGGTGCTGGATGGATGGACAGACAGACAGGCAGACGGGTGGCGGGAGAGTCCTGGGGCGGTATAGTGTACGAGCTGACAGGTGGGCAGTGCCTGGCCAGAGCCAGCACACAGCAGGTGCTAGTGAGAGTGTGGGGCCCAGGCCCCGTGGCCCTACCCTTTGCAGCCCTGAGAGCCACGTGTGAGAAGTGGCACCTCACTAAAGCCCCTGGCAGTTCTGCAGTCTGGGGGCGGGTGGGTTGCCCTGAGAGGGTTGGGCCACATCAGGTCTGCATCCCCCAGAGGGGCATGAAGGGTGGATGGGCTGATGTCCCCACCACCTGGACCAGGCGATCAGATGGGCAACTGCCCGTCGCTCAGCTGCCCTGCAGTGCAAGTACGTCATCCAGGCAACCAGTGCCAGCCCCCAGGGTCCATGGCGATGGGTCCCAGGGGGAGAGGCTCATGGCTTCGCTATGCCTGGGGGCTTTGCAGGCTGGTCACTGGCTCCCAAGTCTTCTACCAGCCCAGCCCCTGTCCCCCCCCACGCCCCCAGCCCCATCAATGTGCTGGCCCTCGGTGCTCTCAGGAACTCTGGGGAGGGGCCCTTCCTCTGCCCAGTTCCTCTGAAAGCCAGCACCCCTGGGGGTCAGGAGATGCCAATTTCCCACAGGCGTGGAGTCAGGTCCGGAGGGGATGTCAGAGGCTTCTCATCCAGCCGCCCACCTTGACACTCAAGGGGGCGAGGCCCAGGGAGCAGAGGCGCCAGGTCCACGGTCACCCACGCCTGACAAGGCTTTCACCTCCCAGAAACGGCTCTGTCCCCCTGCCTGTCAGCAACCCCACATTTGTGTTTGGGTGGCTGCGAGCCCATCAGCCCTGCCCTGGCGGGATCTGAGGCCTCAGCCAGGGGTGCCCCTGCCCCACCCTCTCGCCCAGGGCCTCGGTCCAGTGGGGTTTCCTTGGTCCCCAATCCCTGCCCTGCCCCACTCCCCTGGAGCCCAAGCCTACCCATGGGGCCGCCTCGGCTGCCTGCACTGTACCTGCCATGGGGACAGCCAGGATGTCCGGCTCCTGGAGAAGCCCTGCTCAGCTGGGGCTGGGCTGCGGCTGCCACCAGAGGGGCCCCTGCCTGCCGGGAGTGGTGGTCAGCCTCTCCTGGTCTCCCGGTCCATTCGGCAGCGCCACTCAGCTCTCAGGTGCTCACTCCATCCCTGGTCTCTTGGCAGGACTGTCCTTCCCTCCTTGATCACCCAGGTCTTGGGTCTCCACCTGAGCCTGGGTACCTGGGGTCCTGGCTCTGGGGTGTGCAGGGCCCCTTCTCCAAGCCACCCTCAGACTGGACGGTGCGAGGCCGCTGGCTGGTCTTGTCCAGCTCTAGGGCGGTGCTATGCAGGAGGAGGGCAGGTGGGAAGGCTCTGACGTCGCAAAGCCTCCTCTCCCGCTCCCGGTCCCCGCTCCTGGTGCCCTCCCTTCCCCAGCTAGGAGCCCCCCAGCCATTCCTGATCAATGGGCCCAGGCGCAGGGCGGGGAGGCCCGCTTTGAGGATGCGCTGTGTGGTCCACAGAGGCCCAGGCCTGGCAGACTGGAGGGGCTGGGGGCTGATGGGGCCTTGGGGAGGTTGGGGAGGCCACAGTACTGGCAGGAGCACGGAGGGCTGAATGGCAGAGGCGGTGCCCTCTCACCAGGACGCAGACCCCTGACCTGGGGCTGCTGGTGTGGAATCGCCGGGGAAGCTGGAGAGGAAACGCTGGCGGGGGAGGGGGGTGGCAGCAGCAAGTGCTGGCAGAGGCCAAGCCCCCGGACTGGGTGACAGGGAGCCGGGTCCTCCCAATGGCTCGGCCCAGTGAGCTGTGCAGGTCCCTGATAGTCCCTGTGCCTCAGTTTCCCCAACTGAACTAAGTGCATAATCTCTTCCGCCTGGGACAGGCTGGCTCAGCCTGGGAGCAGTAAGCTGTCCCCATCCTCGGTGACGATGCCTACATAGTCCCCACAGGGTAGGATGCTGGCTCACGTCAGAGGCCTCTGGGGCATGTGTCTGCTCTGCCCGTGGGTCTGTCTGTTCTCTCCAGGCTGTCCCCGACTGTCCGGGGCTGAGCATTCAGGGGACATGTGTATCACTGGTCTGGAAGGCAGACGGGGCTGGGGTCCTCCGAAGCTGGTGGCTCTCAGTTGAGAGTGCTGCTTGGTCATTTCTTCCCTGCCCTGTGGCCCAGGAGGATCAGCTGGCTAGACCCCAGGTTCGCCCATTCTGGGAGGGAGCAGCCCAGGCTAGCCCCCAGGCCAGAGTACCAGGAGAGAGCACAACAGCCTGGGCTGGGCATGCTCAACTGGGGTCCCCAAGGTAGGCGGGACCCCCCACACACACCTCCTCCAGAGTCGAGCACTGGGGACATGGGGTTGGCAGAAACGCACACCTAAGACGGGGCACGAGGGGCGGAGGGTGGGAGGGGCTGCTTCTGTCCTAGTGTAACATCCGGGCCCCTCCCAGAGCTTCATGCCCAGGGCAGACCTCGCCTCCCTTGAGCTCAGAGATGCCTGCTGCTCTGTCCCCTGCACCCCAGATCTCTGCCCGCGAGCTGGGAGGACCCTGGCACAGACGCATGCCCAGCTGTGGGAGGAAGCCCGCGCCGCCTCTGGGGTTTGCTGCCAGGCAAGAGGAGGGGGCTTGTGATAGAGGCTCCCGGCGCTCTCAGGGGCCACAGGGGGGGTGGATGGGAAATGGGAGAGACAATGGAGGCGTGTGGGGGATCCACACCAGTCCTGGTGGCTCCCCCTCAGACTCCCGGAGTGGGCCAGCCCGGGGTTCTGCTGGCTCCTGATGTGTGTGTATGCACACATGCTTGCACATGCCTTTGGTCTGTGTAATGGGAAACACCCACACGTGCGTGAGCACACTGACACACCAACCCACATGCACACAGACGAACCCGAGGCCAAGGACCCATGACCACCCGTGTGCACAAGCACAAACTCCTGTGTGCATGGATTCACACGCTCTCTTACACACACACACACACACACACACACACACACACACACCATGCACACAGGCACGCCTCCCTGCACAGCCTCCTCCCCGGCTGGCCCGCCCTTCCTGCCGGAGGCACCCACTGGCCCCCTGCCCCCTCATCCATCTTGCCTGCCAGCCCGTCCCTGGTGCCCCCACATCCTTCACACCTTCTCATCTCGCTGCTCAATAGCAGGAGGCAGCGCGGCAGCCGTGGCCGCGGGGAGATGGATGGGTCAGGCGGGGTACAGAGGGGCGGGGAGTGACGCCCGAGAGCATGGAGCTCGGGGCTCCACCAGCCCCGCTGTCAGGCGGGTGTGGAAAGCGTGAGGCTGCGTCCAGGCCCCGTCCTACCCTGCCCGGTTCAGCCCTGTCGTGAACACCCTGCAGAGAGCCCCTGGATCAGGACCGGGGGCCCCAGCAGCAGACCCTGTGCCCGCTCCCCACCGCCGCTGATGTGGAGCATCCTGGGATGGTGGAGGAGGCGGACTTCCCTCCGTCCCAAGCCAAGGCACCTGCTTCCTGTGTCCCCGCACTTGGACGGGCTGTCCAGGGTGGGGAGAGCCTTGTCGAGCTGCACCCCCTCCCCTGAGTCCCCACGGGCGCCAGGCTCATTACACACCTGGAAATGCACACCTGGACGGTGCGCCGGCCACATACAGAGCTCCCCAGGAGAACGCCCAAGATACTGAGGCTAGCGGAAACACGTGTGTGCAAAGACATACACGAGCACACACACACTCAGCACCTGGGGCAGGCACACACATGGATACACCCACACACGTGCACACACATGGGCACAGCTTCTGCTCCCCCAGACCGACTCTCTGGCCCTGGGAGTGTAGCGGAGTTTGCCTCTGGGTTGCAGTCTCCTCTGGAAGTCCCTCTGCTGGCCCCAGGACAGTCTTTTTCCAAGTTACCCCCACACTATGGGATCTTCCCCCTGGGCACTGATGGACAAGTATGGGCACAGAGACAGCCACCACTGGCCCCAGGACACAGCATGTCCAAGACCACACTGGGCCAGACCTGCCCCAAATCCTGAGGTCACAGAGAGGGGCTATGCAGGACAGAGGATACAAACCATGGACCCCGGACATCTTCCATTTTATAGAATGGGAAACTGAGGCACAGAGGTATGGGGGTGGCAAAGGGCCCTGGGCTGGGGAGTGTGCCTCAGGATCCATTCTTCAGATGGGAGGGCTGAGGCTGGGCCTGGGTTACGGACCCCGGGTGGTGGTGGGGGCCAGCGCGGGCAGGGCGGGCACGGAGAACGTGAGCTTCTCAGTTTGGAAGAAGGCAATGCCCTTCTCATAGTAGGCGGCCTCATTGATGAACACAGGGTGCACGGTGGACTCCCCCTCATAGAGCACGTCCTCGCCGCTGAACATCTGGAAGATGGGCGCGCCGGGCCGCAGTGGCTCGAAGTCTCGGTCCTGAGAGGAGAGCCAAGGGCCGAGGTTGTTGGCGTTGACCTCTGCCCCGGCCCCTGTGGGAGCCACCCCAGCAGGGACCGCCCAAGTGTGTGGGCGAGGACTTATGGCCTCGCCCACACAGTCCTTCACTTCCTCAATTGATGTGACAAGGTGTCTGCTGAGATGCCAGCTGGCTCTGTATCTAAATGGAGACACCAGTCATCTTAAAAAGACATTTGTCATTGTGGAAGTGCAGTCTAGTGGTTATGGCCACAGATAGTGAAACCTGGGTTCAAATCCTTGCTGGCTGTGTGATCTGGAGCAAGTCACTTAACCTCTCTGGTCCTTAGCTTCCTCATCTGTAACATAGAGATTATATCTCCCCCATCAACCTGAGGTTTAAATCAAATGGCTAATAGTGTCTGGCACGTAGTAAACACAATATAAAAGTTCATTAAATATATTTTAAAATTGTGGAACAAATCACTCAAAATGACTGTTATTACTTAGCCTCTGCATGGAAGATGGGCAGGGCGGCTTAACACCCTCTAGCCTTAAACGCTGAAAGGATGGTGCCCCTCCACCATAACGTCATTACAAGTAAGATGACACCTCCAAATAAAACACGAAGCTGTAATAAGAAGACAAAAAAGTCCAACCAAGTTCTGATTTTCCTACAATTGTTACTTTGGTCCTTTAAAATATTTTTGAAATATCAAATTCTTCCCAACATTTCTCTCTTTTTCGTGCCTGTGCTCTGCTGTGCCCTCAGCACATGCCGGCTCTGTCTGCTGGGTGGCTCCCACGCTGGAGGTCCCGCAGGCCTTGGGGACCAGGGCCTGTACCTCTCAGGGACGGACAGGGCTGACGGAGGAAGGAAGTGGAGGCCCCCGCAACAGAAGCCCATCCTTGCAGAGGTTCAGCATTACTTGGTCACCTCTGATACTAAGGGGAGGGTCCCCCACCTGAGTTCCGCTGGCCCATAAGGACTCATCGCGGAGGAGGGGGCTCTGGCTGGTCACTGGTGAGGGGGGAGGCTGGTGCCAACAGAGCAGGTGGCCCCCTCTGAAGCCCCTCTCACCTCTGAAGGCCAGTTGGGGGGCTTGGGGAACAGTTACTAAGGAGGCTAGGACACCCCTGCTGCCTGGGCACTGCTGGACACCAAGGCCACGGAGGGCATGGGCCGTTTCAAAAGCCCCCCCATGTGACAGCACGCAGAGCAACAGCTGGGGGCCAGCCCATTCTTCCCAACCTCCTCCTGGTGGTGTAGAAGCAGAATTGCCCAATTCCTGGAACATTCAGGAAGGGAGGCCTGGAGAGGGACATGCTGGACTCCCTGCTAATGTGCATAGGGATGCTCAAGAACTTAATTGGAAAATACAGAAAGGGCTCTGTATTTGCACCCCCAGGCAGAGGAATTGGGTCGTGCCTGCCCCCATCTCCTCCCTCCCTCTGCCTTCTGCAGCCAGGAGAGGCGTGTCCAGGCTGTTGAGGGGTCCTCTCATGCCTTCCGTGGGTGCCATGAGGATCACTGTGGCCCCAAGTTCCAGGCCTGCGTGTGGGTTTCCAGGGGAGGCAGTAGGGGGCCCAGGCTCCCGTCCTCCTGCTCCTGATTCTGAGATGCTGGTGACCCTGTGGCAGGCACCTGTGGTCCCTTCCTTTGGGCCTCAGTTTCCCCTGACACCCCCAAGGCTGTGACCCAGGAGTCCCCTCCCAACACACACACACACCTGCAGCTGAGGATGCACAGTGCCTGCCAAGTCCCCGGCCTCCGTGCGGGGGAAGTCCACGAAGCTCAGGCTTCTATAGGCTTCCATCTCAAAGGCAGGTAAAGCCGTGCCTGTGTGGGAGACCAGGTGTGTGAGCCCATCCCTCCCTCCAGCTCTGTGGCGGGGTGGGCCGAGGAGGCCACTCAGGGCTGGTTCCAAGCCTGGCCATGAGCCCGGCTCCTTGGCCCCTGGGCCAGGCCCTCTCCTCTTTGGGCCTCAGTTTCCCCGGCAAGGCCCTGGGAGCTCTCACCCTGGTTGAAGAGCTCAATGAAGTCCAGAGCTGCAGCCACCAGGGCTCTCATCCTGGTGAACAGGTCGGCCCGCAGCACGCCCTGAGGCTGGGGGCCCAGCTCCAGGGCTGGGGACCGGGAGGCAAAGGGTCAGGCAGGCTCCACAGAGGGAGGGTGCTCCAGACCCCAGGCCCCTGGCCCCGCCCATCATCTGGCCCGGCCCCTCCAGGCCCCGCCCACTTCTCCCACGGTGGCGGCCTACTCATTCCGTTCTTGGCTATCGAGTCCAGGTGGAAACTCTCCTTCCCGGGCACCTGCGACAGGAAGACCCGGCAGGGCAGCTCCGGGCTCTGCAGCTGGGAGCGGGAGGGGCGGGTCAGGGCCCTAGGCCTGCTCGGGAGGGGAGACTGAGGCGGTGGGGGAGAGCATGGAGGGAGCACGGGGCCCGTCCCCCCCCCCCCCCGCCCCGCTCTCCGGTGGGGAGGGGGAGGGGAGGAACCAGAGGGCCTGGAGTACCCGAAGGTGGCAGGGAAGGGGGGCCATCCCCTCTGCCCCCTGTCCCCTTCCCCACCCTCCCTCGCTCTGTCCTCTGGGGGCAGGGCCACCTGTAGATGGCGGCACAGGTGCAAGGCAAAGGCGTCGTGGGCGTTGTCCACGAAGAGGCAGGCGGCCATGTTGGCCGTGGTGTTGTGCAGGTCGAGGATGAAGGCGAAGGCCCGGCCGGAGTCCTTGGGCCCCACCAGCCGGTTCAGCTCTTGGGCCCTTGTCACCTCGTATGGGTCGCCTGGGTGGGCCGTGGCACTGCAGGGGCAGGAGTGGGGTGTCAGCCCCCCGCCATGCTCAGTCAGTGATCAGAAGTTTAAAGGGAGAGCAGCCTCATGGTGCCCACAGGAGTGAAGCTGCTGGGACACCGCAGGAGAGACAGAGCAGCTCCAGGGCTCTTCCTTCAGGCCACTGTGGCCTGCCTGCTTGGCTCAGGACCCTCGTTGGCTCCTCACCATCCCCATAAAGTCCAAACCCTCGGCCGCCGCCTCATTAGCTTTCACTCCAGCCACACTTCCGAGCACCATGCTGGTCTCACCTCCAGGCCTTTGCACCTGCTGCGCCTTTCCTGGGAACCCCTCTCCTCTCTTCACCTGGTTAACTTCTTCTCCACTTGGCTGAGATACCACCTCCTCCAGGAAGCCTTCCCTGACTGCCTTTGGCCAGGTGAGATGCTTTGTGTCGCCCTCACCCCTGCATTTAGCTTCCTGGGTTGTGGTTGCTGGGTTCTTCCTCTGTCTACCCCAGTAAACTGAGGACAACACCTCGGTCCTATTCCCCATCCTCTCACCTGAGCCACCTGGAGCCTGGCTCAGAGATGGGGCTCACTGCATATCCACTGAAGAACGGTGTGAACAGTGGTTGGGGCACAAGACAAGTAAACACAGCCTGTGGGGCTGATCTGAGGCAAGCCCAGGGTCTGGGGGACCCAGAGGAGGCCCTGACCAGCCTGGAGTTAGGACAGGCTTCCTGGAGGAGGCGGCATCAATCTGGATTTCTCCAAACTGAAAAAGGAGGAATGGGTATCCCAGGCAGAGAGGTGCGCCCTACTGGTGGCTGGAGGGGGTGTCTGAGGTGGGGACTTCAGTGCCAGGCTGAGAGGCTGGGCCGGCTTGGCCGACAGGGGCCCCATAGTGGTGAGAACACTCACGTGAGAAAGGCACTGGTGAAGGTGCGGTTGAGGTCACGGCCCACGTAGCAGCGGCAGGCAGCTGTAGCCGCCGGGTTGGCCAGCACGGGCGTGGCGGAGAAGCTGGGTCTCTGCGGCTCCCCCGGGGCCCGAAGCCAGTGCCGGACCAGGTAGATGCCAGACATCTCGTTGCCGTGGGTGCCCCCGGTCACCGCCACGCGGCGCAGGGGCTCTCGGGGCACAGGCCACGAGCACATCCCCGTGTGGGGTGGAGCGCCTGCTGGTGGGCCTGCCTGGGTGACCCTGGCACAGACACAGGGCCCCGTGGCAGAGCTGGGATGGTGGTGATGAGCTCCCTGAGGCCTGAGGAGGCCAAGCCAGGCAGGGCGGCTGTCTGTCAACAGGTGTGGCTGGATGGTAGCTCAGCTGTGTCCCGTGTGTGCCTCCAGTGGCCCAGCTCAATGTTTCTCCCTCGGGGAGCCTACAGTCCCTCCCCTTCGAATCGGCACCTCTCCTTCGAGGATAAGCATTACCCTCCCCGGCCTTTCTCTGAGGAGACCATTTCCCTGCTCCCACTGGAGACAGTTTCTTTCTCCTAAGTTGAGAAGAGGGGCCCAGACATTCGGGGAGATGGAGTCATCAAGGCATACTCCCTTAGGCAAGAAGATTATGCACCCACTTTACAGATGGGGAAACCGGGGCGCAGCATGGGGAGTGGAGAGCTCCACATGAATTAGCGGTGGAGGTCTGGCTTCCTGCTCCTTCCTGCCTCTCCCACGTGCTCCTCGGAGCTGGTGCAGGGGCCTCAGGGAGGGGTGAATACCTGCAGATGCGGGTCTGGCTTCCTGGGCCTCCAGGGCTGGGGTGAGCCCCTCCTAGGCCAGCGTCTATATATGGGCCTGGAGATCTCCAGGCAGGAAGTGTTTGTGCTGAGCTGGCAGGGAGCAGGGGGCGGGTGGTGTGGCTCAGGTCCACCCAGAGGTCAGGTCGCTGGGGTCTCCCCGCCCAGCTCCCCCCCGCAGTGTTACTTGCCGCTGCCGAGTTCAGGTCCCGCGGCCAGGCTCCCGTCCTTGCCCTCTGTCCTTCCTCTGGGAATAGGGGCAGCCCTGCCTCCCAGGGCCAGGTAGGGCTCCCGCTGGGGAGCTGCACTTGGGCTTGGAAAGTGAGCTGCAGGGACTCTACGGCTTGGGATGAAGACAAATTCCCCCAGAGAGAGCCCCAGAGGGCTGCCAAGCACAGGCTGTTTACTGCACGGGTGTCCAGCCAGGGGCGCCGGGTCTGACCAGGCCACTGCCAGTTACTTACTGAGGCGTGAGCCTTGGCGGCTGTCCAGATGAGAAACGTCCTCCCCTCCACCCGCTCAGCAACATGCTTCTGTCCTTGCAGCCCCCAGAGGGCCAGGTTCACTCCCAGGCCACCCTTACCCTAAAGGGCTATGGTCTGTGGGGCTCCCAGCTTTATAGCTCTTTGATGCTTTCAAAAAAGTTTCAAAATATTTCCTCCCGTATTATTAGCCGTTTTCAGGGACAGGTGAAACTCAGATGACTCAGCTGCTCTGTTTTGGAAATGACCTTCAGACCCATTTTACAGATGTGGAAACTGAGGCTCAGACAGAAGGACTAAAGGCACACGGGGCACTAGAGGTGAGGCTGGACCTGGAACCTAGGGGCATCCAGTCTGAGCCCACACTCTCCCTGCTGCTCTCATGGGGCAAGGGGGAAGGATGAAGGCGAAATCCCCTGCACCCAGCCCTGGAGCCTGTCCTCCGCCCCACCTGTCCTCCCCCCACCGCTCAGCTCTCAGAGGGGAGCTGAGGACAGTCCAGAGGTCCCTGAGGAGACAGGCAGAGGCGGGCAGTGAACTATGCAGTCGGGTCACCCATTACCTACTGTATGCCAGGCCCGGGGGCCCTGTCGTTCCTCACTGCCAGACTGGGTCCTCCCTGGCCGGTCCAGCCCTGCTCCAGAACCAGGCCCACCAGCTCCCGTGGCCGAGCCCCCCAGGCCAGCCCTGTTTGCAGCTGCTCAGATCACACACCACTCATGATGAGGGCCAGGCCCCGCTCACCACTCTCCCAATCTCCTGCCATCCCCACCTGGATCGTGGGATTGTGGCTCCCATCAGGACCGCTCGTACCTCAATAGGGTGGCTGGGAGGGTGGGGAAGTGTGAGGCTGGGTCACCAACAGGGCAGGGCTCCCTGATAGCTCATCCAGGGGCCACCCCCTCCTGGGGTCTGGAGGCTCAGCAAAGGGAGGGCCGAGACCTCCAGTAGGGTCGTTGAATCTTCATGGGAGCCGCCCCGGAAGGCCGCAGAGGGAGGGCAGGTCTCCCTCAGGCCGTTTCATGGGTGTGGACCTGGGCTCTAGGTTGAATGACTTGGCAGTGGTCGCAGAGCGAGTCAGCGGGGGGCCTGTGTCTGCCTCCCTCCCAGGCCCTGCTCCCTGCTCTGCACAGGGTAGGGGTTCCAAGGCCCCGCTTTCTGAGTCAGAAGCCGTGGTCTTTGTTCCAGAGGCCCGGCCCGGCTGCTGGGCTCCTGCTGACGCAGTGCTGGGCCTCTTGGGAAGGAAGGAAGGCCCTACTCGGCAGCCCTGGCTATGTTGGGGGCTCCTGGGGATCAGGGCACTTCCCTCCAGGAGGTGCTGGGCCCCTGACTCTGGAGAGAACAGCACTCGAGGGTCCTGGAAAGTTCCACTTCCCTTGGCTGGGATCCAGCTTCCCCATTTCAGAGGGTGTTTATAGAATGCAAGGGGGTCCCGGAGCCAGGCAACGGCCCCCAGAAACAGCAGCCCCTACAGAGTGCGTGTCTGAGGATCTGTGTATTCACGTCTGTATCATGTGTACCGACGTGTGTCTGTGAGACAGCAGTGAGAACAGTCTGGAGGTGGACCTGCTGAGTCCCAGCTCTGAGCCCCAGGAGATGGAGGGCCCCCGGCCCCTCTAGGGCCATCCCTGACGCCTATCCCTGATAGGCTGTGTGGGGAGAGTCAGTGCCCTCTCTGGGCCCTGGCTCCTGCCTGGGAGTGAGGCTCTCTGCCAGCCCCGGGCAGCTGTGAGGAGCGAAGGAACCAAGGGCCAGCACAAGCTGGGGAAACAGGCACACGCACGCCAACCCTGGCCTGACCGAGGGCAGAGGCGTCGTGACTCCTGGTGAGTCCAGCGTCTTCACCGCAGCTGGGGAAACTGAGGCCCGAAGAGGGGTCAGAACCTGAACCAACCCACGAAATTGTAAGGCTTGGCCCAGGAGAGCCACGTGACCTGGGAGCCACGCCCGAGGGCCACTGTCCAGTGGCTTTGGAGCCCCCTCCCTGACCGTCCGCCTAGGCTCTGACTCTCCCTTTGGCCTCTGCTCATCCCCCCACCCCCGCTGGCCTTTCACAGCACCCTTATCACAGCCTGTTCGTCCATCCCCCCCAGGACCACTCTGCCCTCTGCTTCTTGCAGGCCTGGTGTCCTGCGCCCCACGTTGTTCTTTTTCTCAATGGCCCACTCTGGACTGTGGCCGGTTACACAGTGGCACCAGCACCTATGGCTGAGGCTGAGCCCTGAGCCCTAAGGGACCCTGGGACTGCCCCCAAGCCTTGGGGTGGCAGGACGCTGTGACTGCTGGACCAGGAGAGGCTGCTGTCACAAACCTTGAGGCCATGACAGCTCTGGGAAGCTCTGGGAGGTGTGTGGCCGGGGGGAGCCTCTGCAGTGGCTCGTCTTACGTAAGAGTCTGGACTCCACTGCATCCTGGAGTGGGGACCCCGGGACCCCAGACCCATATGATCGCACTTCACTCTCACACCAACTCTGAGAGGCAGGTGAGAACCCCATTCTATAAGATAAGTGAAAGGTGGCTCAGAGAAGTTAAGGGACTTGCCCAAAAGCACCCAGAAACACTGGGGCAGTGGAGTGATGCGCACCCAAGCTTTCTAGGTGGTGGAACTACTGCAGCTAAGTGTAGGGCACTATGTGAGCCAGATGAGGGCCACAGAGACCCGTCTGGAATTAGAGCTGGATTCCTGGGGGAGGCAGTGCCTGAGTGGGGTTGAGGGTGGGGCAGAGGGGGAAGGGAGGGGGTACTGGGAGGAGAGAACAGCGTGAGCAAAGGTCCAGGGCTCTCTGAACCTCTGTGTTGCTGGGTCATAAAACGCAGGACAGTCTGTTCCATGTCCAGATGACACGGCCTCCAGGACTGGGCCCAGTCAGCCGTGACCAAGAGAGCAAAAGGCTGGAACTGTGAAGGGTGGAGTGAACAGGGGACACTTGTGACTTCGTGGTCTCTCTTGAACAGCCTCCAGGGTAGAAGTGAGGACCTGCTTCCCAGCCTCCCTTGCAGCTAGGGTGAAGTCATGTAACTCTGCTCCACCAATCAGATGAGAGCCTGCCATCTCGAGGGGCCTGTGAGCGGGCAAACGGGTGCAGAGTCCAGCTATGGCTGGACTCAGGGAGACAGGGCCCCAGACTTCTCTGTGTGACCCTAGGAAGTTTTCTGCACTCTCTAGGCCCCAGGGACAAGATGTCCTGCCCTGCTCTGGGCTTTAGAGCAGGCACACTCAGGTGTGAATTCAGCCAAGCCTTAGAGACTCAGAAACTTAGAAACTCAGTCTTTCTGAGCCTCAGTTTCTCGCCCATAACCGGACTAAGAACACCATGATAGAGATTTTAAGGGTGGTGGGAACAAACACACAAGCCGAGGGGCTCACCATGCACAGTCTCGCTTCGTCCTCCCCAGATGCCTGTGAAGCTAGCACTACTGACAGCCCTAATTCATGGCTGAGGCTCAGAGAGGGCTCACAATTGCCCTAGTTCACACAGCCTGGATATCATAGAGCCAGGATTCAAACCCAAGTTGGCCTGAGTCCAGACCCTGTGCCCTTGACCCCTGCACCAACTGCCTCAGAGTAGGAGAAGGGCAAGGTGCATGGGCCCGACTGAGAGAGGGAGAAAGGCCGTCTTGACTGCAGACGCCGTCATGATGTCATTCTGGGACTGCTCTCCTGCCCTGCTGGCCCCCCAGAGCCACAGTTTCCTCAGAGGTTTTGTCCCCTATCTGAACCACAGCAACTAATGGCCAAGAAGGCAAAGGGAACAAGATTGGGCGTGGTTTGGGCAGCGAAATACTTGAAGAGTCTTCAATGAGCTGTATCTTCCGTTCTTTGCTCACTGGACCCACTGCCCAGACTGTGGCTGGGGGACCCTCTGATTCTCCTCCATCTCTCTGGGTCTCTCTTTTCAGTCCAGTGGTTATTTTGAGGAAACAAATTCCCCAGGCACGGGTGGGGAGAGAGGGAATCTCTTAGATCTAGGTTCATTGGTCACTCAGCTTCTACCTGGGTCTCCTACCCATCTACCGATTCACCCATCCACCCACCCAACTATCCATCATCTCATTCATCCATTCACCCAACCACTCACTTGTCCTTCTACCCACCCACCATCTCATCCATCCATCTATCCATCCATCCATCCGTCCGTCCGTCCATCCGTCCATCCGTCCGTCCGTCCGTCCATCCATCCATCCATTCATCCATCCACCCACACATCTACCCATCCATCTACCCACCCACCTATCCATCCATCCATCCATCCACCCACACATCTACCCATCCATCTACCCACCCACCTATCCATCCATCCATCCACCCACACATCTACCCATCCATCCACTCACCCACCTATCCATCCATCCATCCATCCATCCATCCATCCAGACATCCATCCAGACATCCATCCATCCGTCCGTCCGTCCGTCCGTCCATCCATCCGTCCGTCCATCCATTCATCCATCCATCCACACATCTACCCATCCATCCACTCACTCACCTATCCATCCATCCATCCGTCCGTCCGTCCGTCCGTCCGTCCATCCATCCTCTCACTTCCTTATTCACTCTTTCCTTCACTCATCAGTAAGCCCCTGTTAAGCACCTCTTTCGACTCCATCCTGTACCCTCTTGGAGTCAACTATCTGCAACAATTCCGGGGGGGCAGGAAGATCATACCTCCCCTTCTTCCCTCAACCTCAGGCCACTAGCCCAGTTTTCCCATGGCTCTGAGGGGTGAGGAGCCCACTGAAGCAAGACTGGGGGAGATCAGATTTGGGATCCCAGGGTGAGGACTGGGGAAAGAGCAAGAGGCTGGTCACAATGGACCAGATATACTCTGTTTACTGACCCCCTACCCCTACCTTTCTCAATAAAGCCCACCATTGCTCAGCTCTGCCCTGCTTTGCTGTATAAACTCAGTTCAGCCCTCTCCTGTCTCTAGACCTCAGCTTCCTCATATGTCAGATGAAGTGACCAGATTTAGATTCTGGGGATGAAGAATTCTTGAGGGATGACGGATGTGGCTAGCATGTGCACAACTCCAGCCTGTGTCCATAGCAGACATCACTAATCAACTGTTGCACATGTTCCTTTGATTCCACACACAGCATTAGAGTCTTTGTCAATGATACACTTCAGGCAGCCACCACCACTTGGCCAGATCTGGGTTCAAGATGTGATCACTTCAGGTCAGACACACCCAGCTCCCCAAACCAGATGTGAATGGAGCTGTTTGAAATTGCTCTGTATTTTGGGAGCTTATTTCTAGATCTGACACAAGGGAGTCCTTTCTAACCATAAGAGCTGCCCAACCTTGCAAGGGGTGAGTTCTCCATCATCAGACATATCTAGACATATTCGCAGAGGGTCAACAAATCTGTCAGAAGGCTGCAGAGGGGACTGGGCCTTAAAAGGAGCTGGCCCAGTGGCTCAGAGGTCCTGCCCAGCCAGAGGTCTGTTCAGATCCCCAGGAGCAGGATCTTTGCACTCTTGGACAGGACGCCCCGCCTTCCAGGGACCACTGAGCACCTTGGCAGCAGCAGGACAGAGGGGTCATGGGTGTGGGGTGCTGGAGGCAAGCAGGGTGCTCACAGAAGGGTGCAACTCTGGGAGCCCAAGGCCCAGCGTATCAGCTGCTGGTTCCGGTCAGTATAGGGCGGGTAGCGGATTTCATTGAGCTTCTCCAGGCCCGAGGGGGAGAGCAGGCAGGCACGGTGGTGGGAGAAGGTGTCGAAGGAGTACTTGCCGTGGTATCTTCCCATCCCGCTGTTGCCTGTGTGGCCACGGAAGTGAGGGCCTGAGGCTGGGCAGCCCACCCAGCCTCTGCAGCAGCAGCCCACCCCCCAGGTGGAGCCCACTGCTGGCAGGGAGCTCAGGGAAAGTCAGTCTATTCTAAGAGCCATTTTGCAGATAGGGAAACAGGCCTTGAGAAGCCCAGGGGCTGGATCAAGGTTGAACAGTGAGTGAAGGCAAAACTGGGCCTCCTCGGTGTGGGGTATCACCCCAGACTTCCCTGGGAGGTGGGGGCTGGAGTGGGGAGGAGGGTAGGGCTCACCGACGCCCCCCAGTGGTAGGGACGGCAGAGTCAGGTTGACGAAGCCATCATTGCTGGTGAAACTACCGCTGCTTGTCCGATCCAGCATCTTGTTCACTACCTGGGGGCAAGTGGGGGAGGCGAGGTGGTGGGCTCTTCATCAGGGAAGAGGGCTCAGGCCCCCACCATTCCACGGGGAGCAGAGGGGCCTCCCCTGCCTCTATCCTCTACTGAGTAAGTGTCGCCTCTCAAGGACTTTCCAGATCAAGGGGATCTCATGACTGTGAGAAGTGGCAGGGAGGGTAGCAAGTCCTAGCAGTGTGCAGTCCCCCCTGTGAGCAGCCTGATTCTGCCTGTCAGGTCCCAGCTTTGCCCTGCCCCTATCCCCACTTCAGGGCCTCTGCTCGCCCATGCAGAACCTTTGCACGGTTTAGGAAAAGCGGGCTCTCTGGGCAGGCCAGATAGAAAAGAGCCCTTCTTTATCCTGGCAGAGGCTGTCCCAGCCGACAGCTGGCCAGCCACGCGTCTGGCAGGTTTGGGGCCCTGCCCGAGCCCTCTCTGCCAGGCGCCCTCGGGCCAATGTCCAGGTGGCCTGGATTATAGTTACACTGGAAGCATTATCTGCTGCGCTAACCCTCAGAGGGTGGGCTGTGAAAGGGGCGGTCACCAGTCTGCACCACTTTTGGCCCCTCTGCTGCCCCAGCCCTGCCCGAGCCCCCACCTGGTTGCTGTTGGAGAAGGCATACAGGGCCAGGGGCTTCTCCCGACGCTTGATGAAGTCGATGGCCTCGTCCAGGCTCCTCACGTTCACGATGGGCAGGATGGGCCCGAAGATCTCCTCCTGCATCACCGGCTCCGTCTCCTGCACGTCCACCAGCACCGTGGGGGCTGCGGGCACAGGGGACGGCTCAGCCCCGGGGTGGGGACCCAGGGCTCCAGCTCGGGGATTTCTAGGGGACAGAGTCTCCCCACAGCCCCTGAGAGGTGACCGTCAGGGGTTCCCCAACCTGACCAGGGGACCAGGGCCTGCGGGGCCCGGAGAACCCCCCAGCCTTTGTCTGACAGTCAGGGGGTGACAGGATCTTAGAGCCCTGGAGTCCGAGCTCCCAGGTCCCAGCCTGTTAGAGCAGCAGTGTCACCCGCTGAGCCGTGTGGCCCAGGACACGGGCCACTTTGTAATTACAGCAGAGCGATGCTCAGGACGGGCCGCTGGAGTTCAGAACCCGGGAGTCGTGGGCTCACAGGACCTGGGGTCATGGCCCAGTGGAGCAGCGGATCGTGGGACAGAAGTCTGGAATCTGAGCACTCGGGGTAGAACACTGGGGTCCCAGCTTAGAGAGTCCAGAGCTGGGGCCAGAGTGTGGAGTTGTGGGGTCACAGGGGCAGACCACGGCGACGTGGAGCGCTAGTGTCACGGGATCGTGGCACCGGAGCCGTGGACCAGGCAGGGCTCTGGCGGTGGGGCCGTGGGAGCCTCAGGGCCGAGGTTTCAGCCGGGCCCAGACTCGGGGCCCAGCGGTGGCCTCCAGCGTGGAAGGGCCTTAGCCCGGGTGGCGGGGAGAGCGCGACTCACCGATGTAGCGATCGCTCTCGTCGCTCTGGCCCCCGATGGCCACGCGGCCACAGCCCAGCAGGCCCTGGAGCCGCTGGAAATGCTTCTCGTTGATGATGCGGCCCAGGTCTGGGGAGCTCCGGGGGTCCTCGCCGTAGAAACGGGTGATGGCGCTCTGCAGGGCGGGCAGCAGCCGCTCCTGCATCTTGGGGCTGCACAGGACGTAGTCGGGGGCCACGCAGGTCTGGCCGGCGTTGAAGTAGCGGAAGAAGGCCACGCGGTTGGCCACGGTCTGGGGGTCGCAGTTGTCGTCCACGTAGCAGGGGTTCTTGCCCCCCAGCTCCAGCGTGACGGGCGTCAGGTGCTTGGCAGCAGCGGCCATGACGATCCTGCCAACTCGAGGGCTCCCTGGGGACACGGGAGTTGACCCCCACCTCAACTGGCCTTGGCCAGATGGTCTGGGCACTACCTCTCTGGCCCATCCTGCCTCACCCACTGGGATCTGCCCCCAGCCCTGCAGCCCCAGGATCTCACTCCTCCAAGACTCCAAGACCCAGAGGCCTGACCCACCTGTCTGGACTGATTGCCATCTGGGACACTCCTCATCACTGGCTACCGCCTCCTCCCTTCCAACTCTACTCTTGAATGTCACCCCTCCGCCCCAGGACACTGGCGGGGCCACACTCACCCGTGAAGAAAATGTAGTCAAACTTATGCTCCAGCAGCTGCCCCGTCTCCTTGGGCCCGCCCAGCATCACAGCAAAGCAGCTCTGGAAGGCGGGACGAGTGGCTCAGGGGACACCACAGGCCCCAGGCACAACTGGACCTCCCCAGCTGGCAGGGGCGGGGGTGTGGGATGCAGGGCACTGAGGGGGCAGGGCCGCCCTTACCTGGTCCAGGTACTGGGGCAACACCTCGGCCAGGACCTTCTCTGTGCCCTTGCTTATTTCCGATGGCTTCAGCACCACACAGTTCCCTGCAGGGGCAGAAGTGGGAGACAGGTGCCACCACCCACCCAGGGGCTGGATTCAGAGAGCGGAGTCGCAGGGAGAGCACGCAAGACTGGGGGCACCACACAGGCAGAACGCTGGGCACCGCTTTGGGAAGCACTATGGGCCAGGAGGGCATAGGGCGCAGGATCCTCTCCTCACCTGCGGCAAGGGCGCCCACCAGGGGCAGCAGGGTCAGGTTCACGGGGTAGTTCCAGGGAGTGATGATGAGCACCAGGCCGAAGGGCTCCCTCCGGATGAAGGCCGAGTCCAGCTGCGTGAGCTGGGGTGCAGGACGGGTGGTGAGGCCCCGCTGAGGACCCCTCCACAGCCTGCCCCCACAGTGTCCTCGAGCTGCCTGTGCAGTGCCGTCCCCATGAGGAGACAGAGGTCCCGCGACAGTCAGTGACTCTCCCTGGGTGGGGGTGATGAAGGAGTGTGGGCCGGCGCTGCCCCCCACACCCGGCCAGCGGCTCACCAGGCTCTTGGCCACTGGCTCGTCCTTCATCCAGGGGTGCAGGCTCTTGAGGGCCAGGTCGACCTCGTTCTGGCACATGATGAGCTCAGACACATCCGCCTCAAAGGCTGACTGCAGTGGGGGTGGAATTTGGGGGTCAGGCCCGGGGCAGGATGCGGAGGCAATCTAGTGCTTGGGGGTCAGGGTCCCCAAGGGTCCCCACTGGAGATATGGAGACGGTCTCCAGGGGCGGCACAGCAGGTCCCCTGGGAACTGCACAGTGAGCGCCAAGGGTCACAGGCCATGGGCCAGGCAGCCTGGGCTCCAGTTCCGGCTCTGCAGCTTCCTGGCTGTGGGACGTCGAGCAAGTGACTTAACCCCCACGAACCTCAGTTTCCCCATCGGTACCACCATGGCACCTGCTGCACAGGTTTAATGAGTTAGAATGCCAGGGGAGGGTCTGTTAAGTCAGCAGGAGGGACTTGAGGACACAGCCGGCCCGCCTCCCTGGCCCACCTTGTGCAGGTCCTGCGCCAGCGCCTCCTGCAGAAGCTGCTTGTGGTCCCGCAGGAAGCGGCCCAGGCCCTCCAGCTGGGCGGCCCGGAACTCGGCCGGCTGCATCCGCCCCGCGCGGAAGGTCTCCCGCAGCCGCTGCAGCGTGTCCCTGATGGGGTCCATCCTGCCGGGAGGGGGTGGGCAGCGTGGGCTGGGGCTCCCCATCTTCACAGGCGCATTCCCCCTCCCCGCCTGTGCCCGTGTGGGCTCACAGTCACCCCCCCAGACACTCACGCATAACCCCAGGGGGCCGGGGCTGCCCCTGCACCCCTCGAGCACATGCACCCCGCCCACATTCACGCCTGGCCCCCCTCCACCCAGACCACTAGGGATTCGTTGGATGGTGGGCAGGGCCCCCGCTGGGCCTAAACCAGGGACTCCGAGGGTTCTTTGCTTCAGAGCCCGCAGAGCATTTGTGGTGGCAGATGGGGAAACTGAGGCTGGGGTGTGCACGAGGAAGGCTCAGTGTCTGCTCTGGGGAGGTGGTCCTGGAAAGAGAGTCTCAAAGCAAGGAGCAGAAGGGGGTGTTTGCACAGGCCCGGCATCTGTGGAAAGGTGGAGGCGGGGGTGGAGAGGCAGGTTGGCAGAGCTGAGGCTGCCTGGACTTGAGTCTATCTTCACCCTGACAGCCCAAGGGAGCGCCCTGGGACTGAGAGTGGAGGAGGCACGGGGCGTGGGGGTGAGAAAAGGGGCCCAGCCAGCGGGCGTTCAGGAGGGAGGCCTGCCTAGACCCAGAGCAAGAGGGGGTCTGAGCACCCCAACCCAGGGCTGCAGAGGCGGGCATCATTTGTGTGCCTGTCTCTCTGTGTATCTGTGTGTGTCTCTGTCCGTGTGTGTCTCTGTGTGTCTGTATGCATGTCTGTCTCCTGTCTGTGTGTGTCTCTGTCTGTCTGTGTCTGTGTGTGTCTCTGTCTGTCTGTGTGTCTGTGTGTGTCTCTGTCTGTCTGTGTGTGTCTCTGTC